AAATATTCGCAATGAAACAGTTCGAGCTGTGCTAGAGCAAGCCATTATATTCTAATGAGATACAAAAAAAGTTGGTTCAGTATCAGTTATCAGTTCAGTTTCTCTCGAGTTTTTGCTCAGAACAAAATTCGTTTAAAAAAACAAAAAGTGCAAAAGCAAGTGTATTTATATTATATTTCTGCTGTAGACTAAATTTACCTGCAAAGAGTGTTTAAATTGATACAATTGTTGTGCAGACAAACTATTATGAAGCATAAATTTTGACCCGAATTGTTCAGTTGCACTTTATTTTGTTGAAGCAAGTCTTCAGGTCAATTCATATTTGCCCATGAAAATGTTTGATCTGAGTTTGAAATATATAATTGATATTTGATTTGTTTAGTTTGCATGTTTACTCAATTGAAATAATATAAAGAAGGTTGAAATAGAAAAGGCTTGAAAAATATTTTCCTTTTCAAATTGATTTACTTTTGCCTTCACCCAACATGCGAATAGATTAACCCATTCCCATTTCAAAAGTGACATTGTATCAACATTGTCATCATGCACATCATCATCATCTTATTGTTAACAGTAAATTGTTCAAAACAAGGAGTAAAATAGTTGATAATTTGATGATATTTACTTGAGCCTTTTCTTTGTTGATTTTGTTACCTTTTTTACCCTTAACTTTTCACTCTTTTTTTAAGCCAACTTCTTGTTACCTTTCACAATTTATTGTTGCAAATGAACTTTTTTCAACTGGTCTTGATTCATCTGAATCAACATGAAACATTTTCACTTTGCCTTTTGTTACTCATTATTCACCATTCATGTAACAAGGCAACACCAAAATCCCTTGATATTAAAAGTAAAAATAATTAACTGAATAGAAACAAAATGATAAGCTGTAAAAAAGGGAACAAAAAAGGAGTGAAAAAAAGTCTAAACAATTAAGTCTTGTTGCTTTGAGCATTTCAAGCTTTTAAATGTTAACTTAATATTATGATGATAATCATGATAATAATGTTCAACTTTGAACATCTTATTGTTCATAATGAAATAACAACAGTTTACATGGAAAAATGTGAAAAGAGGAAAAAGTTTAAACATTTAGAGTCACAATGATTGTTGCAAGTTAAATAGTTATGAAAATGTCTTCAGATTAAGTTGATTGGTTTTGAGATTTAAAGTCAATCCTAAATAATCTCGACAACCATGAAAGTGATTAACATGGATTCGACCTGAGCAAATGCAAGTTGATCCAGGTCAAAGTTGAAATCAAAGGTTAGTTCCTGAAATTCAACTCGAACATTAATAAGAAGAAAAATGATCAAAATTTGTTGCAACTCAAATGATGAACTTCGAGTTTGGAAAAAACATTTTGAGAACTTTTGACAACTTTTCGATCTCCAAATCTTCTCGTTCTAGTCGATCTTTTAATTTTTTTCGATCGGAAGATTGAACTTGAAAATCGTCGATCTTGTCATTTCTAGGTTCGATGTAATGAAAGTTCACTCAAACCTCTTTTATCAAATGGCACCAACTTGTGATGGTAATGAGAGGTGAAAGACTTGGGTTAATTTTATTTGTAAAGGTGATAATAAAACTTGAACATTTCCATGAACTTGGCGAGTAAAAAAGGATTATTGAATGAAAAATTTGTTCGCCATTTTTTGCCTTTTCTTTCTTGTCATTTTCAATTTCATTACTTGAACATTTTTTTAGCTCAACATTTTCATCTTCTTCTTCTTCTTTTTTGCCTTTCTTCTTGATTCTTTGTTGAACCCTCAATCCCATTGATTCAATTCATATTGAATCAATTGATAAGATTTACCGCCAATCACCTTAGGGCATAATAATAGGAATTAAAGTGTATATTGACTTACTTACCAATTGTTCAATTTATCATCTTGAGATTCTGTATTTGATCATCGCCATCATTTTCAGTTACTTGATAAAAGTTCCAAGTGATTCCAATGTCACCTATTCAATCCTCTTAATCATCGACTTGTTTTTCATTAGCTAAATTGAAATAAAGATAAACAATGAAACAGGATAATTTGTTCACTTCCTAATCACATCAGGCTATTTTCATCAAAAGGTTGACCTTTCTTCCTCTAAGCTTCCCAGTTCAACTCCAGCTTTAAATCATGAAATCTTTGAATGGAAATCAATTCTGTGAAATTGTTCTCAAATTATTAAACTAAGAATTACAATGAAACAAAATTTTGTTCAGAAACTGGCTCATTGACTTTGCACGAATTCAATTGAACGTTGCTCATAAAGAAGCTGAATTCTGTATCATTTCTAGAATTTTTCGTTTCTATTTTCCAAAGTAATTAAAATTTCTCCAGAAAAAAATTATCTTCTAAATAAGTTTTAGAAATGAAGAAAATCGAAAATTTGAAAACTCAGAAAAACTCTTATCGTAAATTACTGGGCGCAATTTATTCATGACTTCAAGTTCGTTATGATCTTTATGGTTCTGTAGCTTCAACCAAAGTCACAATTTATTCACTTGACATTGAACCATGATTGTGGTGAGAATTGCTGAAAATGTAAATTTTTCCATTGAATTTCGTTCTATCAATGAATGTTGATTTCAATGAACAGGAACAAGTTTAAAGGCACAAATCAAATGATGTTTTGTTTCTGGGTGAATATAGTTTGACCATTATTTGCTCATTGTCTTTTGACCATTGATCAGAACTTTTGAGAAGAAAGAAAAAAGATTTCAAAGTTTGACTGAGCACAAGTTAAGGACAAGGTAAGACGAGAAAAGATGCTGAAGATGCAGTTGAAGATGAAGAGGATGAAGAATGAGTTTTGTGAAAATTGTTCCGGTCAAGCTGAGGTTCTGCAGGTTCTTTACCTTCAACTTTTCATCTTGAAATGAATTTAACGAAATTGACCTGAAAATAAAGAGTAAAGTGGATGGTTGAATGATGACCTGAGTTGGATGAGGTAAAATAAAAGTGGAAAGGTAAAAGTGAAAAATGGGTTAAAATGTCTAAAAATTTGGTGATGAATAAATGGTTTTTATTTTCTCAACTTTTCCTGTTTAAAGCAATTCTCTCTTTTTTTCTTGTTGTTTTCACTCTTTTTGACTTTCACTTCACATTCAACTAATATATATGAGTTTTCATCTTTTAACTTGAAAACTGTTTTTAAAAGTTAACTGTTTAAGTCTTTGTTGGACGGGAATAAAGTCAATCAGTTGGAAATGGTTTTCAAGCCAAAGAAACATTGTAATGTGTCTTAACAATGATTATGATGATGACGATCATCATCATCATGTCAAGACCCATGGGTCATTCAAAATGAGTTAAACTCAATCCTTGGAACCGTTTACATTCAAGTGTATAACTTGATTCCTTATAACCTATTATATCATATTGATTGAAAAGCCTTGTTAACTGTTTACTTCACTTTAAACTTATCAAGTTTAATAGTGGATAACAATATAATAACTACAATTTTCAAAATGATCAAAGTTAGTTGCCCATAAAATATCACTTTCCCGTCTTCAAATTCATCGTCAAAATTCAATGTTTACTTCAACGACAATTTTTCAATTTCCAAGCTTTGTGATTAACAATTGACTCGCAAAAGATGCTTTACAAGAAAAATGTTGGACTTTCATTTTATCACACAAAGAAGGTCAGTTTTTAACCGTCATTCAACTCTGCTCAGATGAAAATCAAATTAATTGTTCAACTCTATTGATCTACAACTTCATTAAGCAACAATTGGCTGTTAGACCTTCAATTGTTTTATATGAGTCTACATGAGACTTTCAAGAGGATACGTGATTTGAAATGAAATGCTTGGGATGAACCACTTTAACAAGATTGAACATTATAAAGCAATTTGATTCCTTTATGATTACTCTTGTAAACAATTTTTAAATCAACTGACTTGACTTATTACCGTATTGGCCTTTTGCTTGTAAAAAAGCCAATAAAAGGTGAAAAGATTGTTTTGGTAATTTCAATATTTACTGACCAATAATCATTGAGTTTGGACAATTTCAGGATTTGGTCTTTCAGGTTATTAATCAAATTAACATTGTGTAAGCATTGTTGATTAGCAAATTAGGGTTGGTTAAATGGTAGATTGTAGTCAATCTTTCAATGAACTCGATTCACATCTATAATCTTGTTCATTATTTATCATTATTTATGATTATAGAGAGAAACTGTGATATAAATAATAATCTTAATATTTTCACTCCTTCAAGGCATTACCAACTTTATTATCAACGATAAACCAAGAAAAATATATTATGATATTTATTTTTACCAGAACTTCGTTTTGTTTTGTTTATTCGTTCAACCTTTATATCCATTATTCCTGCGATTTTTTTGCTTCTCTCGTTGCCTTTCATCGGAAAATATTTACTTCAATATTTTCCTTTTTTTCCCTCTTTTCCTTTCATTAAATCAACAACAAATGTCAAATTCACTTTTCTTAATTCAATATGACTGTTGTTACTCTCTGGTAAAAATTGCTATTCATTTATTAACTGGAAATATTGATATTCATTGTAAAACATGGAAATGTTTGAGACTTTTTTTCGGTAAATTTTTTTTCCTTTTTCTCTCATTTTCCCATCTTTTTGGTAAACTGTTTCTCTATACTTGTTCAACTTGAACAGGGATTAGCTTCGGGCAATTACAACTTTAGACTTTCATTTTGATTTGGAATAAACTTGAAAGCTTGTATTAATTTATTTTATTGCGAATAATAACCTTTATTTGAAATCTTACCTTTATTTGGGTTCTTTACAAGTTTCTTAAAAGGTAAGTTTGCTTATTTGCTATTGAAGATGAAACTTCAGCTCAATGGGTTTCAATTGTTAGGTAAAATAAAATTTAGATAATTTCTTTAAATCAATATGATTGTTCTTCAACTAAAAATTTTCAAATCGATCCGATAAGTCCATGAAATGTAACTCAAAGTTAGATGAAATGTTGCTGGTGTTTCATTTGACGCGAAAAATGATGAAAGTTTAACCATTTGAGAAAAGGAATCTGAGATTCTTGAAGCGCTTAATTTACAGATGACAGCTTAACGACACAGTGAGAGATAATTGGCTGATTACAATCAAACTAAATTTAATTCAAAACCAAAAATAATGGAATCACAATGAATATTTGGATGTTTAGCAGCTGTTAAGGCGCCCCAATGAACGATATTTATAACGGAGAGAGTAACGCCATCTTTTGTTGGATTGTAGGTTGGAGTCATGTTAGCTTTAAATCAATCAGTATCACTTTTTGTACTTTTATTTATGTTTACATCGAGATAATTAAATCAATCAGCAAATTAATTTCTTAAATGAATGTTGATTTAATTTTGTTTATGTACAACCAGTTGAACAGTGATTTGGTGAAATTAATTTAGTTTACTTTGGAACTGTTTTGCTATTCCTCATTTTTAAACGTTTATGAGGCTTTAATTCTTAAAAGTAAGTGAAAATAATTTTTTGAGCTAATTTTTCCTCTACCATTTGTTGATTTTTTTTCAATGCGATTTGTTGGGTTGGTGAGTAAGTTCATTTTGTCTTTAAATTCACAATTCTTAGAGATTTTTGTGGGCTTGGCAATCAGCGTTCTTTTTCAATTATAGCTCACAATTAATTGAGCCATTTTGAAACCTCTAATGAGTTCAATTTATTAAATATAGATAGCCAAAAAAGATTCATTTTTTAAGGCTATTTTTGCCAGTTTTTAACCCATCGTTTAATGTTGAGTTAGATGAGAGTTAAGAGATTAGCTTTTTACATGATCTGGTCCATTCCTTTGGAAGTCAGTTCAATGTTGTACATAAACTCATTTGGTGAACAATTTCCAGGTCCGCATAAAGGTTTTTGATTGCATTTCTGAAGGCACAAGCATCTTGCTCTACTGCATCAGGATCTGGATCTAAACCATATTCTTTTTCTAATTCACAAACTTTCACTTTAATAAGATCTAACTTCTTCTCCAATCTCTCGCGAACATCCAAGATGTGCTTTATTAAGTTTTGTCTCCTTATAGTTGTTTGGTCTTCCTCGACAACTGCAGATCCTGATATCAGTCTTTCAAAGGTTGATGGCTTTAAATTTGATAGCTCTAGCGTTGATATCCCAAGGTTTGGAACCTCTAATGATGGTATCTCTAACGCTGGTAACCCTAATGTTGATGATGTTAATGTTGATGATGTTAAGGTTGGTGTCTCTAAGTTCGGTGTTTCTAAATTTGGCGTTTCTAATGTTGGTGTTTCTAAGTTTGGTGTCTCTAATGATGGTACTTCCAACGTTGGTGCTTCTGAGGTCGAAGTCGCCAAGGATGATGTTAAGGTCGATGTTAAAGTTGATACTAAGTTTGATGTCTCTGGGGCTGATGTTTCTAAGATAGGTGTCTCTTGAGTTTGAATCTCTAAGATTGGTGTTTCTAAGGTTGATGGCTCTGAGTTCGAAGTCGCTAATATTGGTCCTTTTGAAGTTGATGTTTCTTGATTTTGGACCTCTAACGTTGATGCTTCTATTGCCGTCACTAAAGATGTTTCAGGTAATGGTGTTTCTAAATTTGATGTTGCTAATGTGTCCATCATCTTCGATTCTAGAGTTTGATTCTCTGGAGCTGGTGTTTCAGCAATTGTTTCTTCTTCTTTGGTTCCATTCATTTCACTGTAGGAGGAAGCAATGAAATCAATTAAATCAGTTCCTTCAGCTATTTCATTTTCGAGATCATCAGGTACATCGTTTTTATCATCTGATGTAACAGTTTCCAAAATATTTTTAGAAAAATCCAATATATCATTAATCATATCATTTTCATTTGCTTTTAAACCAACGAAGTCATTATGAACAATTTCCTGTTCACGAGGTGGTACTATTTTTGCTTCTTTTGAAGCTACCCATGACGTGTTCCAAAGACTTAGATCACCATTTTTCAGATCTAACAACTGGATCTTGTGTTTTAAATCATGGATTATATTCAAAACTTCTAAAGCATCATTCAGGAGTTGATTGGTTGCCACTATATTCTTCTTACGCAAAAAATTAGAATTTAATTTACTCGAACTAGAGTCAAAACCTGGAAACAAAGGTAAAGTTCCATTTCTTAACCAATTCCAATCATATTTATAACGACATTTTTCACGAGATCCTCTTGGATTCTTGCATATAAAACAAACATAAACATCGGGGAGATCTTTGTCAGCTTTGATACCAAGACATGATCCATGTTGCCAAGTTAGACAACATTCGCACTGAACCATGAGACCAGATTCCTTTCTCAAATCACAGATACAGTTCACCAATTCATCAACATCATCACTTTCATGGATCTCTCGTATAGTTCTCGGATCACTGAACGGAAGAACAGGATTTGGAATAGGGTTTGATTCTTCCATGAACATCATCGATGGAGAGACACTAGAAACCTTTTCGACAACACGAACTTTGCTTGTTTTGCTTTCTTCTTTTAAACGCGCCAATTCATTAGCTTCTATTTCTGATTTTCGTTTTCGTCCTCTTTTTTTACCAGTAGGCGGTGGTTGATTTAATTGTTGCTGTGGTTGATTATTAGTTGATTTAGGTTGCGTTTCTTTTTTACTCTGTTGATTGATTTGCTCCTTTTTCACAGGAGAAGGAGTGAATAGAGTCATTGGCGGATTTGAGGTCGCTACTTCACTTGGCATTTGGATTTCCAAGGGCTTATATACATTCAAATTATTATTTAGAGGTTCATGATTGGTTTTAATTGGAATTGGAGTCTCGTCAATTTTTAATGGTGTTTCCAGTGGTTTAATCGAGCTACTCTTGGTTTTATCATTTCCTTTGACATTAGATGATTTAGGTGACGGTTTGTGACAAGTATTACTTTCCTTGTCTGTGACTGGTGTATTATGTGAATCATTTTTGTCCTTTTTACTTTTACTAGGACTTTTATGTGAGTCTTTGGATGGCATTAAATTTGTCTTTTTCACTGGTTTATCTTCTATTGGCGGCGCAATCACCTCTTGAATCTTTGTTGACGTTTCTTTTAACAAATTAGATAAATCATTTTGTTTGCTAACTGGCGGTTTACTTCTCCTTTTAGATTGAGAGTTCAATTCTGGATGGTAGTGTTTAAGGTGTCCAGATAGGGCTTTCTCTTTTCTAAATGCTTTTGTACAATTTTCAGCCGGACATTTGAAATGGTTGTGATCTTCCTCGATGAAAAACTCTTTACTAGGATGTGTCATTACCGCTGGTACTACCGACACTTCCATTTTAGGTGCTTTATCGCCTTCAATTTGAATAGGAGCCGTTGTTTCCGTCACTGGCACTGATGGAACAGAACTCGGAGGTACCAAGGTCTCATTATAATCTTCTGGTAACGGTGCAATATATTTAGCTTTCACTTTCTTCCTGTAACCATCATAGAAGATGACATTATATGCCCCGTCGGGAAAATATGATGATACAATTCCCGGATAATCTTTACCATCTGACCATCGAGCTAACACTTTATCACCTAATTTATGTTGAAAAACAGGAGGCTGTGGTTCACTACTCTCCAATTGGCTCATTAGGATGAAGATTAGATCAAGTAGATTATTAATTTATTATTTAACTAGAGAACCGTAAACGTCATTGACAAATGTAACATTAATTAATTGACTAATAGGTAAACAAAAGGCTAAAAATCATCAAGTCAATTGATTGGTAGAAGGTAAACCAAGAAAAAAGGCCGTGAAAAAAAATGAATGGAAAAAAAATTTCCTTCTAAAAAGGTAGACCTCCTTGACCGATAGATGACACTATAATCGCAACTCAAATAGAAAAATTTCGTTTAAATTATTATTTCCCTCATAGATGGAGCTTTCAGAAATTCAAAGGTAAAACAAATTGTTATCAACAAATTATAGAGCCAGTAATAGCTTTTATCAATGAATTAAACATCGTATTAAATTGTCATTTTGCTCTGTTTAATCCTTGACGAACTCATCGCCTTGGTCAACTATATCATCTGTTAAACTCTTGGCTAATAACTGGCAACAGTCGACTACCTGTAACTGTCCGACGAAAAATGAGCGAGATTTTAAATGGTGATGGGAATTGAATTAATTGAAGTTTAATCCATGATTTCGTGTGTTGATTCCACCACAAATTGTTTATTTATCACTATACACATGTAAACACATGAGCAATGATTTGCTGTTATTTTTGACTTGACTCTTCTAAAAAATTGTAAATTTTGATAGTTAAGATATTATTAATTTTTTAAGATGGGACTTTAGACAAGGGAAAATTTGAGACAGTCGACTGCATTATAATTTGTAGATTAAGATTATACGAATTAAGTTTCTCTACAATTAAAGCAAGAAAAGGCCAAGAATAAACATTTACAATTAGGGATAAAAGACTAGACATGATGGTTGCATATGAAATGTTTTGTCACTGGAGTCAATCAATATTGGACCGTCACTATTCAGCCAAACATCAATGCACTCATGATCGAGTTGATGATTGATCACTAACCATCAATTTGAATTGATCGACACCATATTATGTTAAATGATCAGACCAATAGATGACACTAATATCTTTGTTCGAAGAAAAATTGTTTATAGAATTAATTTCACGTTCATAGATGGAGCATCCATAGAAATCTTCTTCATGTTATGAAAAATTTTGTTTTGTTTTCATATAAATATTTGAACTCAAGGGTATTAGGAATGAATGATTAAATGTAATTCTGTTGTGTTTTATTTGTAATTAAACTGTTCTTTATCAGTTTTTCTGACAATTTATCAATCTGATAAGCTATCTTAATCATCTGTTCACCTCAAGGTGAATATCTAAGATATTTTAGCAATGTCCAAGTTGCGCAAGGAAAGAATTGCCTCTAATTTAAACGAAGAAGAAGTCGCTGAGGCCTTGAGGATGGCTAACTATTCTGAAATAATCAGACAATTAGACCATTTTTATGGACAAGGTATGTTTCTTATTTAACTGTTTATTCTTCAAATTAGTTGGTTCTCTTGCTCTTTTGTGAAACTTCTGAAGATTATGATTTTTCAGTTGTTTAAGACATTTTTCTCCTAGTGTTTTGCTATTCTTATATTTTGAGTTGAAGTATTTACTTTTTATTATCTTATTATGGTTTGGATTATTTATAGTCAAGAGGCAACTCCTTCAATTTCAATCACCAACAAGTGGACTATTTCCTCGTTTATCATCTGAATTACGTGAAGCTCATGTTCGAGACACTTTATACTGTTCAACTGCAATATGGGCTCTTTATCAAGCTTACACCAAACGAATTGATGACGACAATGGAAAAGCATACGAACTTGGTCAATCAGTTGTCAAATGCATGAGAGGAGTACTTTTTGCTTGGATGAGACAATCTAAGGATAAAGTAGAGATGTTCAAAACAAACCAAAATCCTGGCCATGCAATACATTCGAAGTTTGATTTGAACACTGGATTACCTTTAACTGATTGTCCCGACTATGGTCATTTACAAATTGATGTAGTTTCGTTATATTTATTGCTATTAGTACAAATGATTGCTTCTGGTCTTCAAATTATTTATACAATGGATGAAGTCAACTTTGTTCAAAATCTTGTCTACTATGTTGAAAGAGCTTACAGAACTCCAGATTTTGGAATGTGGGAAAGAGGAAGTAAATACAATGATGGTACACCAGAAATTCACGCTTCTTCAATCGGTATGGCTAAATCAGCTCTAGAAGCAATCAATGGTTGCAATCTTTTTGGTGAAAAAGGTGCTTCTTGGAGTGTTATTTATGTGGACATTGATGCTCACTCACGCAACAGAAGCATTTTCGAAGCACTTTTACCTCGAGAATCTAGCTCTAAGAATACTGATGCAAGTTTGTTACCGACCATTAGCTGGCCATGTTTTGCTACTCATGATCAATTATTGTATTCTAATACAAAAAGAAAGATTCTTAAAAAACTTAAAGGACACTATGGCTTGAAAAGATACCTTCGTGACGGATATGGTACAGTTTTTGAAGGAAAAGGTGAGATTTATTAAATTAATAATTTTATCCTTTTGCTTCAATGTTTATATCTTAATCTTTTTATATAGATAAAACAAGACTTTATAAACCTGGAGAAACTCAACAATATGAAAATATTGAATGTGAATGGCCGATGATGATTTGTTTTCTTATTATTGATGGACTGTTCGCAAACAATATTGAACAAGTTAATGAATACACTACGCTTTTAACCGAGAAAATTGTACATCGCGATCCAGTTTTTGGTGATTACTTAATACCTAAATATTTTTACACACCACCAGAATATATTGACGCCGAAAAAGTTGAACCTCACTCAATGCCAAAAATTGCTAGTCAAGAGGGAAGCGATTACAGTAATCTGTTTCTTATGGGACAAGCTCTTTTCATCATTACTCAACTGGTTTCTTCAGGTCTTCTGAATATTAATGAACTTGACCCTATCAGAAGGTATATGCCAAGCTACAGTAGACCCAAGAAAACTGGAAGATACTCTGCATTTCAGGTCCGTTTGTCTTGCCTTTTTTTATTAATCCTTTTTCATTAATCTTATACCTGCAATGCTAACAAAACTCAGTTTTCCATATTACCACTAAATTTCAAAACTCCTTGTCCTGCTTTGCATGATTTGCCTAAAAGATGGTCATTCTATTCTTTGCATGTTAATAGCATTAGTCCTCTAATATTAGTGTTGACTGCATTTTTTATTGTCTAATGTATTGCTCATGTTTAACATTGCATTTGACAACTTTTAGGTTGAAAAACTAAAAAATCTGGTGAAATGTAGTTAGTTTGATGCTAATTTTGTGAATCTATCAAAAAGTAATATTGAACCAGACAAGAGTAACATTCACTTTTGATATAATTAACAACTTAAATATAGTAAAAAAAGCTAATTCGATTGACAGGCAATAACAGAAAAACTTGAATTAATCCAACACATCAAACATTATTTTCATGAAAGAATAATTGAGTTATCTTTTCGGATCTTTTTCTGGCAAATTCAGCGCAAAGCTTCTGTAAGTCAAGTTCGCGTGTTTATTTTTAAACTACTGTACTGTAGTATTTTTTTTATTTTGTTATCTAGCTGTATGGTTGACCTGGAAAACTTTGATCTTCACAAATTGGACAAGATTATTATAAATACACTTAATAATAATGTGACATTTCAGGATACAAAGTTTTCCAACTCGACTATTTCTTTTAAATTTTGTCAATATCATGAATCAATTTATATTTACATTTATTGTTTTGTTTATTTAGGGTACAGGCTGTGATATTGTTGTTCAAGTTGTTCTCATTGCGGAATCAATGAGACTTCAAGCAATGATGGCTACTTACGGAATACAAACTCAAACTCCACTAGAGGTTGAACCTGTTCAAATATGGCCTCCGTCCCAACTAGTCCAAGTTTATGAATTTCTAGGTGTTAATAAAAAATTAGGATTAAAAGGTCGTCCCAGCCGTCCAATTGGAGCATTAGGAACCAGTAAACTTTACAGAATCTGTGGACAAACAATTTTGTGTTACCCTTTAATTTTTGAGATTTCCGATTTTTATCTTTCTCATGATATGGCTTTACTCATTGATGACATCAAAAATGATCTTCATTTTGTTGGTAAATATTGGCGTATGTCTGGTAGACCAACAGTTTGTCTTCTTATTCGTGAAGAGCATCTGCGAGACGTTCATTTTCGTGAAATGCTTGACTTGTTGGCTCAATTCAAAAAAGGAATCCTTGACTCGTGTCTCAAAGTAAAAACGGGTCGCCTACAAAATTTAATTAGCTCATCATGCATCGAACATCTCGATTTTCTTCATCTTTTACCAAGTGATGCTTTACCAAAACTCGAATCTTTTCGACAATTGGAACACACTTATAACATTGGCTACCAATCACTTGCTGATATACCTAAAGCTTTGGTTTACAACGAACCAATGGACGTAAATATTAGGAAAATGTATGAAACTTTACCAACCTGGCCTGATATTATGGAAGCATTGAAGCACAGTGATACACTTTACTCTCAAAGTCAATTGCTTGGCATAATTTGGGAACGAGAAGGACCCTACTTTTGTCTACATGATGGACATACCGTTAAAGATAAACTTGAACGCCTTATGAGACAAGCCGGAGCCTTACGTCATTGGTCTGTTGTTAGATATTGTTCATCTGTATTGAAAAAATTGGTTGATTCTATTTCACCTTATATCACTTCAATCTTGGTTAATGGTAAACAGCTTACAATCGGAACATTTGGTGGAACTGAGCAAATTATTGACCATCCATTGACACCAAAGGAGATTCACTCACTAATTTACAGTACCATTCAGGATCCTTATGAAGCAGTCTTACAGCAAGAAATAACTCTTTACATTGGTCGCCTTATGTCTACTAATCCTCATCTTTTTCAAGGAATCCTTAAAATACGAATTGGCTCAGTAATAGAAGCAATCAAACTCTATCTTGATTTTAAAGGAGAGAAACACCTTCAACTCGAAGCCCTTGCTCCAAGTCACCTGAGAAAGATTCTTTTCCGTTTGCTTACCGATGAAAATCTTACTGTTCAGGAGAAGAGGCAAATTGATGGTGCCTTTTGTAGGGTTCCCAGAAATTTTTATGATAAAATTTGGGAAATATTGAAACGAGTACCAGGAGGTCTTGTCATTTGTAATCATCAATTACCTTCACATCCAACTTTATCAGAAATGACACAACATGAACTTAATTTTGCATTATTGGTGGAAAAGCTTCTTGGAAGGATTTCTACGCCCGAATATCGGCAAATTTGTGTTGAGGTGATTAATCAATTAATTATTGTATCTCTTCATCAATTACTAATGTTTGTCTTTTTATATTTTCAGGTTATCATTGTTTTGTATATTGTTCTTGAAAGAAATCCTGAAATTTGTTTAAATTCTAAAGTTTTTCTTGATATTGATAAGGTGAGTTATTATGAGAATCAAACATTTATTTCAATGTTACTAACATGAATTTTTTTCTTTCTTTTTTACAGATTATTGATGAATCTGTTGACAAGTACAAAGAAACCTGCAATAAAAGTTTGAAAGATTTTTATTCCGAGGAAAGATCTGTTACCTCGTCTTATTTTGCTCGAAGCATTTTGGACATTTTACTTAAAGTATCATCATCACAATGTAATGTCTATTGATCTTGATCTTCCCTAAAATTAAAAATCATTATCATGGTTATTAGAATCCATTAGGTCAATTATTTATGATGTAAATAATTTTAATTATTAATTAAAGAAACCAAATCATTAAGTGCAAGTTGTTACAAGTACAATTAATTCTTGAAATCATCTAATTTTGAATGATTTCCACTAAAATTGAAAAAGGTGAAGACCCTCACCTATTCGACTAACCAGTCTAACAGTTAAGTTAGCTAGCTAGCCGGGTGAGAGTCTTCTTGTTTTTTTTGAAACCGGTTGACTGCTTTAGTAGGCAAGGAATTACACATTTGTAATCCTATTCTATATATCTCATATTATCATCGTGATAATACGAACTTAATACAACTTATCACACATTGTGATTTCGCAAATTTTCATCATAGTCAACTAACCTGGTAAGAACCTCGACAAACGTGTCTAGTCTCCCTTGGCATTAACAGTTGACTTTCAACATCAATGTAGATTTATTCAACTTTGAACATGGATCTACCGTTAACTCTGAACAAACCAGTGTGCCAGAATCCACTGACAACTGGATTTGAACCTGGTTCCTGCTCGCGAGCTGAGAGATGTACATCGGCCTTAACAACCGTGCCACCTCAGGAACCAAAAGTTATCTAACTTAAAATCAATAGAACCTTAAATCTTGTAATCTTTCTCACAATTAAATTCAAAGAAATGCTAATTGGGATGAGTTTCATGCGTTTGACTTAATGATTCTGTTGAACTTAATGGTTTTTAGCTTTCATTTTGAAAATATAAATGTTATGATATATCGATTCAACCGATATAGACATCGATAATTTCTTTTGAGTAGATATTAATACTGATATAAATTAATTTCTTCGCAACACAAGCAGTAAAACTCGACTGCAAAATGCCGTGATAGTATTCAATGAATTCACAAGACGAACCTATTACGTCTTCCTCATGTCCATAATTTATAGACACTTCAAATTTGAGAGCTTCCAATCCATGAAATTATTTGTTTTTTGTGATCACTTTCCTCAGGTCAAAGATTATTTTCTTTTATATTTAGAGACCAAAAGAATTACGGTTAAACATGAGAATATACAGTTCTTAAAATCATGAAAGATTTCTATTATTCAGTTTTTCAATACAAAATGAAAATTTTTGATATTTTTTGATCTATCGATATTTCCTCTTAAATATCAGGAACATCGATATGAAAAATAACGATCATTTGTTCAAAATTAAACTTAATAAAAGTTGGTCCATTTTTTAGATCAAATTTCTCATTAATCTAAATGTTAGATCTACAATTTTAATTTCGTTGTTGAAATAGAGTCGCTCAGATTAAATAATCAGAGGAAATTTCAATGATACGTTGAACTCAATTGGATAAATGATACTTTACTTTGCTCACCCTAGATGGAGCTCATTTATCCAGTTTGTAGCAAACTGTTTGTTTACCTTTAGCAATCTAAAAAAGTGGCTCAGGCTTCAATCAATTTAATTCAATTAAACCAACTTTCATTTTTATTTTTTATTTGTGTTACCAGTTGTTTTAGAGTATCAGGATATCCAGTGAATTCATCAGGTAGTTTTTTCCTAAAATTATTGTTACAAACGGTAACGATTCTAGTCACTCTTATTCGGTAATGGTTAGAGTTTATTGGATTGAGTTTCATCTTTAATCATTATTTAATATAATTTCAATGCTGGTTGAACAGTTTCCAAGAGTGACAATCTTGCCTGCTATCTAAACCATTTCATCAATGGCGATTCAAACAGAAGAAAATTGAAATCTAGTCAATCGTGAAAGATTTGTAAATCAGTTATCTGCAGAGATGAATAAGCCAGGTAGCTTAGACGATCTGATATGAAGCGCTTAAGAAATTGTCTCGGATTTTCAAGTCAATGATCATGATTTCTCGCGATTTTGTACCCAAGTTGATATAGTTAGTCAAACCAATCTGCGTTTTGGAAGAGGTGAAACATCAAACGGCAAATTTTGAATCTAACATTATATTTCATTATAAATTTCTGTTTTGGTATTCAGGTGAATTCACTCGAAAAGTATTTGCATTTATCAATGCAATTAATCTTGTGTCCAATCTCCCATTTTGGATTGATTCTGAATCGATGCTTCTTTCGCTAAATCTTACATCTTTGTATATCTATGCGGTCATCATTCAATTTTAGCCAATGATTTGTAAAGGTGATTATTCATTTTGTATGAAATAATCTCGAGATGGAACCCATAAATGAAAGATCAAAATTTTTAAGCTTATGAAAGATATCTGATTACTAGATCTCATTTCTTGATTGATCAGCATTTTGATGATCAAAATTTATCTTTATCCGAGATCGTTTCTCATATAACAAATCCTCAGTTTTGGCTCTGTGATCAAAACTTTTGATAAACTTAAAGTTGAAAAAAGATATCATCTTGTCATTTCAATGAACATTCATTTAAAGTAAGTGTCGATAGTTGAACTGATTTTATTCTGATGTATAAAAGTCAAACCAATATACATGTAATTTTAACTTCAGCCATTATTTATATGCATAAATCTCTAATTTTATTTTAAATATTCAATATCTCTGGCATCAATTAATAATTTCAAAAAATATAATTTACATGCAACTTCCATCAAACGAATCTTCCACCAAAAAGCTTTGCATTCAAACAAAACATTCAATTTCATCTAATTCAGCTTAAATCTAACCTTTTATCTCTCATGTAGAAGTAAATCATCTCTTCATTAATCATAAATCAATTATATGAATCAACACTTATACATTCAAATAAAAAATAATGATTATACATTTGAAACAGTCATATGATGAGCAAAAAAGTCAACATTTGCTGTTCAACAGTGAAGTATCTTTAAAGGAGCTTCACAATAACCTAAATAAACCCAAAATAAATTTTGAATTATAATGAATGTTGAATCTAAAAATTAGCAGATTATAATCAATCAAAGTGACGGTAAGATTTTACCTAAAAAGTGGTCAAATTGGAAACAAAGTAACCCTTACTTGAAGCTGAAATGAAATCATTTACTATTTTGAATGATGTAAAATTGTTTGATAAAATTGAGCAAGTGAAAGACAATCTTGTAATACAATGAAAGCTTACAATTAAAAACAAAATGGTGAATGGGTCTAATGAAAATTTGGTTCAACGTCATTTTAAAAAAGCTGAAAAAACTCAATTATTATCATTCAAGGTCGCAGTAACCAAAGAAACCAATGTTTCCATCATCATCTTCATCATCCCTTTAAACAGTGAAGTCAAAGAGAGAGGAAAAGTGTAATCGGCGGATTAAAAGAGGAGAAAGAAGCATAATAAGAGAGAGAGAGAGAGAGAGGAAAGTGGGTATTGTGAAGGTAATACAAAATGAGAGATGATGAGGGAAGACAAGAGTCATCTTTAACATTCACATTTAACCATTTAACTTGTATCTTTGTACAGCAGGGTGAGTATACGGAGGATGCTCTATGCAAGTTGGACTTTCTTCCCTTTCATCTTCATCATCATTCCTCTCTTTTTTCTGGTTCCTTTCTCTTTCCTGGATAAAAAGTGGAAAGAAAGGGAAACTCGAAAGAGGCTCGAAAGAGAGGTTCGAAAGAGAGACTCGAAGAGAGACCTGGAAAGAGGATCAAAAGAAAGAAAAGAAAGGGAAAAGAGAGAAAGAGGAAAGCCAAAATGGCGTGTTACATTGGGTTAACATACAAAAATAATATCAAGTAGAGACTGATTTTTTTGCCTAATTCCTTCTCTGTGATTATATATACAAAAATATATATCTTTTCCTTTCTTTCTTGTTGTTGTTTAATTTCAAGATGAAATTAAAATTACATCTGTGCTTGATTAACAAATATATTATTGATAAATAATCATCTTGTCAACCAACAGTTTTTTTAAAAGTAAGAAGTGTGTGGAGTTATAACTCCAAACTCAATAACAACATAACAATAACAATAACATACACACAGTAAGACGAGACAAGAAGAAGAGGAAAATAAGAAACAAGGTAAACAAGAGTAAGTGTTTCGACTGGTTGATGTACATTGTATCAACGTCCTCATCGATATCGTCATATTTTTGGTTTCACTCGTCCTTTGGTTTGCGGTATAAAAAGAGTTAATCATCATTTGAAAGTCCCGATCAACATCAACAGTAACAACCTAAACAAAAGATATCCACATTTTAGGTTGCCAGTCTTGTCTGTACCAAACCAGTGTGTAACCAGATCATCAGCAATAGTTCATATTTTCTGTGTCTCTCTGTGTTTCCATTCAGTTTAACAGGATTTCAAATAATCAACAACAATCTCGACTTAAGGTTTGATCTGTTTTGGCCATTGATAATCAAACTCTGTTTTTACTCTCTCACTCCCACCAACATTCTCACTCTATCATTCCTCCTCCTTCTTATTCATTCCCATTCTCCTGAATAAAATCGTAGTTATTTTCTCAATCGATTGGCGAAGAGTAAAACCCACACAATAGTACCAGCCCTTACTTCGATCGTTTTCTCCTCTTCGATCGAAATAAAATCTCTTACTTTCTTCCCTTTCTTTTTCCTTCATAACTCTTCCATGCTCGAACATTTCTTTATCCTTCTTACTCAGATTCTCACTTTTTCTTGCTATTTTTTTCTCATGCCTCTCTCTCTTTTGCTAACATACTCACACTCTTTTCGCTCTCTCTTTCTCTCTCTCTCGTTCTTCCAATCCAATCATATCGACAGATAATCTACAGGCAAATAGGTAACTTTGTCTTGAGAAACTTTTCTTTGGGACTTTTCTCCTTCCAACTCCTCATTCAATTTGCTTCCTCCACCATTGAGTCCTGGTTGCTTCCTCCACTTCTTCAACTGTGGCAATCAAGGAGTGAATAACTTTTTTGAAGTCTCAATTGAATTCCCCTGATCCAACAAGCTTCAGGTAACAAAAACATCGTTTCTCATTGACAGCTGAATCTTGAAGAGCTAGAAAATAAGGAAAAAAAGATTAATAATCGAGAAGCAAAAAGATAACAAACGGAGCTTGATTGATAAAGACATAGACAACAAGAGGCATTAAAATTTTGTTTCAAAGGCCAACAGAAAGAAACAAACCTTTTAAACCTCGCATTTGTCTCTAACCCTTGATTGGATAATAAAACAGTTCAAATGGAAATGGAACTGACCTCAGATTCTCTGGGTGATGGCGCCATTAACGAAGAGGAGGTAGGATTATTTGATTCAGCCTCGAGATCACCACCACCAGACATAATAAATTTAACCGCAGCTGTAAGCAACCAAAGCGAAACAAACCCAGAAGAGGTTACTTCACAAGTATCCCTACTTGGAGATGACGACGAGTATGAAACTGTAACCACGGACGTTGTTCATTCAAACCAACAATCTTGTATAATACCGAGAAGTCTAGTTGTTGTAACACTATCAACAACCCAACCAATTATCCAATTATCACCGAGTATCGTTAAATCTCTAACCGATTCCAACAGTAGTCAAACACTTTGTAGTAATAGTCTGCTTGGTAATGGTAGCGAAGTGAAAAGGAGTATCAGCTGTATCATAAATAATAACGGCAGCACAGTTAATAGTAACTTAACCAATGAAATTAATGCACTTGGTCACATTAGCAGTAATAATGGTAACACTTCTAATAACCAGATAAATAATATTGACGATAATCATAATAATATTAATGAAAATGAAGAGGTAAATGGTAATCACATTGAAAAAAGGATAACTGTTATTAGTGAAGGAAACAGATTTAGTGAGGGCAGCAGTGTCGCTGTTACCAGTGATATTAGTCGAGATGATGCAAGTGGAGTTGTTAATGTTACTCAAGAGATTGAGCGAGTAACAAGACCATCATCAATAACTAGAACAACTTCAACAATAGTTACTTGTTTATCATCATCATCGTCATCATCATCATTAGTATCACGAAGAGAGGAAGAAAACCAATCACCAAAACAACCATCTTCAATTGGTGCGACAACAACAAGAGCAACAACTTGCACTGGATTAGTTGGAGAGGAGGAAGACGAGTTAATTGGTGTTGTAGGTGAAGACGAAATAGCAGAAGTAATAGAAGAAGTTATATCAACTGAGAGAGATATACCAACAGCAACGGTAAACAACTTTAGTGAGACTGGGCTACAAAGGATCTCTGTTGTCAACAGCAACTTACATCGTATCAGTAGTTTAACATCAACAGAAGGAGTAACAACAACAGGACCAGTGACTCGATCAACAGAGACTGTTACACTACAACCACAATCAACTTCAACAACAACTGTCTTAGTATTACCGGTAAACTCGGTTGTTGTTCAAAGGCATTCTCACCAACAGCTCAATTTGCCTACAACCTCTCTAAGCCATCATAATCTTTCCCACCATCCAGATCATTTTCAAGATCACCATAGTCATCATCATCAACAACAACAACTTTCTCAACATTTAGGTGATTCCATTGTCATAGTTGATCCTATTGATTGTTCTGTTGGATCAGTTGATTCAGTATTAGAGCCACCGGAATTATTACCTGCTCATGAGATTGTCTCAGAAATAGCAGCGGTTGCCGCTGCAACTGCTGCTGGTGGCTCATCGTCATCATCAACCAGTGAACTAGTTCAAGTAACATCACCGCCATTATCTTCAAATACAACTTCAAATAATCCAATTACCAGCGAAAGTGTTGTGCTAGTTGTTGACGGAACTGATCCTACCCTAGATGATACATTAGATAATACATTAGACGCCACTTTAGATGCTACTTTGGATGCTACCTGCGATCCTTCAGTTACTATAACTAGTGTTAGTGCAACCCATTTACCTGTGACAACAAACACCAATCCAACCTCTTCTACCTCTTCATCATCTGGCCTTCTAACTGGTCTTGATTTAGTTGAAGAGGAGGAGGTTAACGAAGAAATTGTCGACCATATTGGCGAAGAAGGTGATATTTGTGATTCATCAGTGTTAACTGAAGTTGGTGAAGTTATTGTAGCCGTTGAAGAAGAAGAAGAAGAGGAAGAAGAAGAAGACGAAGAAGACGACGACGAGGAAGACGAGGATAATACTGTTGTTACACTTGACCCGACTGTTATTGATTCAGTGATTGATTGTACGCGATCACGAAATTTAACTGAATCATCATCTGTAACAACATTACCAAGAATATCTACTTTGCGTTCTTCGAGACGTCGAAATAAAAGTACCAACAGTGCTTCAGGAAAGAAAAGGCAAACTGCCAATTCATCTAAAACAAAGAAAAATACCCGAAAAGATAAAAATAATAATTGCATTACAAGTAATCGATCAGGTTCAAACGGTGACTCAATTGGACCAGTTTCATCGCCTTCGTCATCAACCTCATCTTCACCTATTGTAGACGATCAAGCAAACAGTAATACAAGTGAAACAAACAACAGAATGATTGATGCAACAGATTTCCGTGGTGTCCTCAACAATGAGCCCACCTATCAAACCCTAAACGGACGAATGACTCCTCCCGGGTTTCCAACATCATCCTCAAGCTATGCCACTTTAACACCTTTGCAACCCTTACCACCAATCTCCACCATGTCCGATAAGTTTAGCCATTATGGTCATCATCATGGAAATGGTGGATTCTCATTGATGCAAAATGTAACCAGTACAGGCCTTGGGATGGGTTCAATGGCTTCAAATTCAGTTTATACAAGTCAATATGATAAGATGGTTGCCGTTGCTGCAGCAGGAATGACAATGTCCTCACCATTGAACCATTCACAGCAATCTTCACCCACTGGAAGTCCCATTATGACCGGTGGACCCAACAACAATTCAGCTTCTCAACAACAGCAACATCACCATCACCACCACCATCATCATCATACTTCACCTTCACATCACTCTAACCATTCAGCTGCAGCAGCTGCTGCTGCTGCTGCCGCGGCTGCCGCTGCCGCTGCTGCAATGATGACTTCAAGTTCATCCAATGGACTATCGGGTTCCTCTCCACCTGGAGCTGCCACAGCGGGCTCATCTTCCTCCCATCATCCTCACCACTCGAGTCACCTGCATCTTGCCAGTTCACCATCCTCGTATCATTCCAATGGGCTTGCCTCACCCACCGAGAAAAGTTTATCACCCACCAATGGTTATGATTATTCACATTCAACCCGAGGATTGGGTTCACCTTCAAGTCCATCCTCTGTAAATTTACATTCACCCAATTCACTGATAACCTCTCTTAATGGACTTCCCTCCAGTCCGACGCCACCGTCATCTGGTCACCACCATGGTGGCCAAATGACACCCTCATCACCTTCCCATCATCATCAACAGCAACAGCAGCAACAACAACATCAACATCACCACCATCATCAACAACATCAGGTTAATTCGGTTGCTGTTGCTGCAGCAGCCGCAGCCGCAGCCCTTTCTAGTGCCCAGCATCTTACTCTAGCCGGTATTCCGGTAACATCATCTCAACTCAATCATCACCATCATCATCATCATCCACACCATCAATTATCATCAATAGTTTCAACTCCAGTGGCCGTTGTTGCCACAGCAAATTCCCTCCGATCGGTAAGTTTAAAAAATAATCTTTAAATTTCATTTTATTTTTCATTTAAATTAGTTTATCTAACCTAAAAAATGTAGAACAAAACTATTCCTAAATAATATTTACTAGCCATTCATTTACAATTTACCTTAAAATTACCCTGCACTGTTCAACATTCAAACCTTCCCTTCATTTCATTAATCAAAGTCCTAATAATAACATTTGATATTTACTTTAAATTAAAATTACTCTTTTATTTCAATTGATTCCTGATGATGAGACTTTTGTTTTTCATACAATTAAACGCAAAAATATTTTTAATTTCAATTTACCATTTTGTTTTTATCATTTCCATAATTATTTCCTATTCAATTTTGTATTATGTTATTTTTTTACAATATTTCAACAACTTAATCAACGATAAACTGAAAGTTAAATGTTACAAAAAGGTTTTTTCAAAATTGGTCCTTTTATAATACATTATTGTTGACCATTTGAATGTTTTTAATCTCATTCCCTGTTAACACGAAACTAAACCTTTTGTATGAATCATTGATTACCTCGTACATTATCATTACCTTAACCTAATGGTCTAATTTTCATCATGATCGCCATCAACAAAATTATCATTTCAGGCATCAGTTACTCCCATCCCAGCGGCAATTGCACCAACTGGTCATACCGTGACAATTGTACAAGCTTCATCCTCCGAATCAGTTGATAGTGATCTTGGTTCAGCTTTAATCTCTGCACCCGTTGCTGTAGTAACAACAGCAAATGCAATTGAAACGGTAAGCATTTAACAATCCAAAAATGACCAAAACAGTGAAAACACAAATGGAAATGGTTATAGGTTAAAATTAAATCAGTCGCTCATCAATCAGGAATCAATTTTTGCACCAAAAACACTTTTTAATTTTACGGTTTAGCATCTAATAATAACATTTAATATCATTAGTTTTAACGGAAAAATTATCTTACAAAATGTTCTTGAATTAACTTCTCGTTTAAATGTCAATTGTTTGCTTTCAATTTTAAAAGCTTTTTGATCTCGATTTGACTCTTTTTCAGGATTAGTTGTAAGAACTGAATTGGGATTAGATTTTTTAATCTTGATTCTGTTGATTGAAAATTCAAACTTGAGTTTCAATGTTTTGAAAGGAAAAAGTATTTTCTGTTTTGTAAGTTGCTGGTTTGAAACTATTGAACCCAAAATTAGATTGTCATCAAATTAGCATAAAATGTTACCAAAGCATGTCATAAGAAAATTTTTCAAACCAAAATCATTTTCGGAAAATTAAACTTGAACTAATTTGTAAAATAATTTTTCCACCTAAATTACTGTTAAGATTTACTTGTAAGAATGTAAAGTTGACTTGAATTTAGAACTGAATTTTACTCCTTTTCTTGACTCATGTTCATCAGGTTGAAGAGAAAACTGTTATCCAACATCATTCCGGTAATTCTGTACAAATTAATGCAACCCTTTCACCGGTTCTTGTGACAACTGGAAATAAACGTCAAACCTCATTAAGTCTATCGATAAGCTCAAAGAGTGACAACAATAATCTTTCAGGGACTGTAATAGCACCAACAGGACTTTCTGTATCAACCTCAATCTCAGCCTCTTCGTCTACGTCAACCTCTTCCTCATCCAATAACGCCAATGCCAGTTCATTAAACAATAATAATAACAATAATAACAATAGTAATAATAATAATAGTAATAACAATAATAGCTCCAACAACAACGCAACTAGTAATAATGCCGTTATAACCGGTAACAATAATAACTCCAGTTCAACGGCAAACAATAATGGATCGCTTAACATTCAACAGCCCGGTTCAGTGGCCAGCTCTTCAGCTGATGAAATTGAAGAAATAAACACCAAAGAACTTGCTCAAAAGATTAGTGCAGAACTTAAAAGGTACAGCATACCTCAGGCCATTTTCGCCCAACGAGTACTTTGCCGATCCCAGGGAACCCTTTCCGATCTCCTAAGAAACCCCAAGCCTTGGAGTAAACTCAAGTCAGGCCGTGAAACTTTTCGTCGAATGTACAAATGGCTGGAAGAACCCGAGTACCAACGAATGACTTCACTTCGGCTTGCAGGTAAGTTTCACCTTCTAGATATTTAATGAACAATTGAACAATTACCAAACAATTACCAAAAAAAAAAGATCTCTAAAAAATCTCAAACAAGTCAAGAAATTTTTTCACATTTTTCAAGTCAAGCTCAAAGTCAACATCGGATTGCTTCGCATTTTAATTGCCAACCAAGCAACCAATTTAAGTTAATTTTGATAACAATTTAGTTCAACTATCATTGTAATTAAATCTGTTATTTTTGTTGAATTTATTTTGTTCAAATAAACATTTATTTTGTTTTATTATTTTATTTTTTTCCTTTTTTTATTTTTATTTTTTACTTTTATTTTGTTTTCCTTTTGAGATTTAATAACTGTTGATATTTTTAGCTAGCGAATGCCAATGTTGACCCTGAGGTGAGTCCATCTGACCTTTTAAAATAAGTGTTCAGCATGAGTTGAACCATGATTATCACATTAGATGAACAATTGTCTCTAATGAAAACAATCAAAGCAAAACCCTTACATTACCTTTTTTTACCCAAATCTCTCTTTTTTTACCTAAAATTATATCCAGCAGTGAATAATATCCATTGCATGAAAAAGAAAATAATTTCACATGATTGAAGGAGAGCAAAATTGTCATCCAAGCAGAACTTATTAACAGATTATATTCTGAATGAAATTTCAGGACAAGTGACCCACTCAACTTTACATAACATCATTAGAGTCTTTTTTTTAATTCACCAAATTTTCGAATGAATAAATGTCCAGAACGATCTGAAAGCTTAGCATTTTTCATTTCAAATCCATCAACCAATCATTTCAACAAAATCTTCAACAACCTTCCAAGTTGATTAAATACGCATTTTGATTGTTTGATTTTACGTTTAAAATGCAAACCCAATACTAAAGCTGCAACAGTTACCTAATGATGAAAATGGTAAAAATAAAGCAAAGACTGTAATCGAGAAATGAATTTTTTCCTTCATGACAATACTAATGATGAAAATATAAACATTTGTGTATTAATATATAATCTTGATGATCATTTTATCGATCATTTTCATCTTCTTTTCATTTCTTGTTTCAACTTGAAATTTCAAATCCAAATCCAAATTGAGCAACAAATAGCCTGAGAGGTTTGTCAATGATAATGCGAAACATAATGATTTAGTCTTTTTTGTTCATTTAATTCTGATAAAGATTAATAGGAAAATGAAACAATGAATATTTGTACAAAAAAGTATCAACATTTCAAGTCAATCGGTTGTAAACAATTTAATTACGTCTTTACAAATTAAATTTGAATGTTGAACAATGTTAATGTCATTGAAAGTAAATGAAAAAAAGTTAACTCAATTGTTTGACTTATGGTTTACAATTACAAGAGTGAAGCACGCGATTTAATACAACTATTATTGGTGCTTCATGATGATGAAGATTATCGTTATTTTTGCAAAATATTAACCAGAAAAGCCTTAAGGGTCCAATTAAATGGTATACCTTTTTGGATGAAAATAAATGAAACATTTTTTACTCTTCTTGTTACCAGAAAACCAGAAATTTTTAAACATCCAATTTACCTTTTCACTTGATTCACTTGGTTAACTTAATGGTTCATTCATTTACTTCATCTAATTGGTTTAAACTGTTAAATTGTCTTGATTGTCACATTTACTTTGTTCATTATTTAATCACATTTCTCAATGTTTCTCAGTGTTTACATTTGTCTGGTTAAATCAGCTTCCAAGTTATGTAAATGTTACATTATTTTTAATGTTTATATAATTTATCATTTATTATTGAATCGGTAATTATATTTGATCAAGTTTATCTTGGTATTTCAAGTTCATGAGCACCTGATTTTACTCTTAGTTTCTCGTTTTCACATTAAATTCAAATTTGAATGGTTTTTGTTTATCATCAGATTGAATATCAATAGCTTTCAGTTTAAAGTTCAGTTTATTTATTCAATTTTTGATTTCACGTTTTCTTCTGCCAACCATTTTTTCCTCCGTTTTTCACTTGCATTTGAATAATGTTTTTATCATGTAATTTGGGTTTGCAAGAAAAATAACATTAAAGTGTTGAAAGGTGAACAGGAATGGAAAGTAAAAAATAAGTTCATTGGAATAAAAGATGAGAAACAATGGAAAAGAATCACAACTTTCCTCACCTCTAACAAATCTTCCTTCAGGGTAAACACCAAACAAAAGTTTAAGGTAAAGTTCCCTGATTAACAGAGATCATGAAATTCAAGATTAAACTCTTTAATGAATCATCTTCAACCTTCAGTTAAACCGTTAAGTTATGAAATTGAGAGCTTGGAAAATGTTAGATTGAAATCTTTCAAATTACGATAAAATTAGTTCGAATGAAAATCAAGTCCAAAGTTTTTTTTTCGAATAATTCTTTGAATTTGTTTTTCCATTGAATAATGAGAGTTTTAGCATTTCATTTGAGTCATGGAAATGGTAAAATCGTAAAAATTTCCAATTCTTTCAAGTTATCAAAAGTGAATCTACAAGAATAAGAAACACTCCCAGCTTTCACTCCTACTCTTGATATACACCTAATGAGGTGAAATAATTTGTTTCAATTCTTCTTCTCCTTCCAATGATGCTAATAAGTTGACCATTTACAGTAATTTATGGTTTTCTCAGTTTTCACCTGTAAATGTTGAATCCTGTAATCTTTGATTCTTTTAAACAGCAACTAAAAATGATTGTTTGTTAACAATAACTTTTACTTATTCTTGTCTTCACTTTTCCAACTCTTTTCATCATTCCCAACAATTGATATTAAAGTAAAAAAAATGTAACCTTTGTTGTTGTTTGCTGTCGTTATTGTCATTATTATTGTTATTTCCAGTCTTTTTAATAATATGCATTTACCTTATTTTCAGTTGCTTTTTACATCACCATCAACTCTTTCCTACCTTTACTCTCTCTCTTTATATGTTATGTTTCATGTTATTGGTATCCATTGGTTTCCATTGTAAATTACTTGTTTAGCTGAAGGTTGAGAGTTGAAAGCAAAACAAAACAAAAAAACAGGTAAAAATGAACCCACAGACTTACAGGAGTAATGATGAATTGAAATGCCCATTTGCCGGGCTCAGCAAATGAATTTTTTCCCAATCAAAAAGAGTAAAGAGAAAATGAATAAAAAAGGAAAAAAAAATTTCTTCCAAGTTTACCTTTTATCACCTTAACCACCTTCATGATAATCTTATCATTTGCTTGGTAACGTAGTTAACACAAGATAATGAGAACGAGGTTGAACCTTGGTTTATCCTTCAATCCTTTACTTGAGTTAAATGGTCAAAAGTCGACTGGGAGTGAAAATTTGATAACATTGAATAAACACATTTTTTCTGTTCAATTTTGTTCGCCTCATTGGGAGTGACTTTACCTTGTTAATGATAAGGTTTGACTTCAGCTGCTCTTTTGTTCATTTTTATTCGAGATTAATTTTCGAAGGGAATTTCGATGAATGGTTAGTTTTGTGGCGAATTTTGTTGAATTGAATTTTGAATTTTTTAGAAATTTTTAAATTTCTTGCAAAAAGATCTTTGGAACTGTTCAGACACGTTTGCTGTCAGTTCATGTCTGGTTATCTGACCTTGAATTTGATCAGCTCAATGATAATGTGAAACCAGAGGGAAACTCATGAATGAATGAGTATGTGATGAAATTGATTCTGAGTAAAAATATAGGTGAACATGAGTGAGTTGTATGAAGATGTTGAATAATCGAACATTCACCTGGAGTAAAAAAAGAATTTTTTCATGGAGTGAGAATGATGATGATGATGATTATGATGGTCGATGGGATCGATGTGGTTGGATAATCGATATAAAGAGTTATCCTGGAAAACTGTAGCATCATCTCTCAGGGAATCTCTCCTTTAAAATTCATTCACTGTTATGATTATCATCACTTTCTGTTAACCTTGTAATTCACTTTCATCAACAGCTGATAGTCAACAACATTGTGCAAAACCCATGTGACTATCAAACAGGTTATCCTAATTTCACAACTTTTGTTTATTCTATTGATTTTCTTCCATGACACACATTCCTATCTCGAACACACACACATTACCTTTCAATGGATAGTTTCAAGTCCTTTCAACTTCAAACATCTTTTCACAAGTGAAGTCAAGAATCTCAATAAATCCAAATTTACAGTTAACCCAAAAATGACCCAAATTCAAGATCTTTTCAAATCGCAAATCTTTCAAAAATACAACTTCGATCAAAAAATTAAAGTCAAACTGAAACATTCAACATCAAGAAAAGATTTTGATTTTACTTTCATAAAAGTTACTCTGAAAATCTCAGTCAAACAATCCGTTCAAATTAGACCAAAAATTGACCGAAATTTTGACTCTGAAAAATTGGATTTCGGTTCATCAAGAAATGAAAGAGACTCAGTTGGAATCAAGAATGAAAATGAAATTTGATGAAAGTTAAACTTGAATGTTCATTAGAAGTGACTTTAAATGTTGTTGCATTATGATTGTTTAAAATTAAATGAATAGTTTTGAATTAATTTTCAATCTTTTGCTTTAATTATTTACTGTATATTGACAACAAAAGGTTGTTCAAGTTAAAGTTTATCAGTGTAAATGCAGCCTAAAAAGTCGGTAGACCTGAAAACAAGGGCAAAATGTTAATCTGTTTGTAACCTATTCTTGAATCTTATTAAAAGATTTACCTCTGAAGCCATTTTTTCTGCACAAAATGTAGATCAAAATTGTGACTCTTCAACATTAATTGAGTTACCTTCAAAGTTACCATGAAGCAAAAAAGACTATCAAATAGTAATCCTGTTGAATTGAGAAAAAAATATTTCCTTCTTTTTTTGTTACTGTCCCTGAATACAATGATACTTTGTTTAGGTTTTGAAAAGGCAAGAAAGAGAACAAGAAAAAATGAATTTTTCCCAAAAATTGTCTCACTTTTTCCTTCTCATCATCTTTTCAATTATAACTCTTCTCTAACTAGCAAAACTTACA